AGGGGCCCTATAAACGCGAAGGCAAACCCCTTATATCTACAGTTTTGAAGGCAACTTTATCAGGGCCTTGCATACCGGTCAACGTTAGCGGTTGAGGAATCTCTGCTCCCGCCAACGCCGTGAAGCTCGCCCGTCTGCTCGACTGCCCGGCCGCCGTGCCCGTCCGCCACCTGCCCGCCGCGCTCGTCCGCTGCTCTGTTAGAGCTGTGTCGAATATTGTGTACAAGGTAGGTTACAGTTGGACTATGAGTTGTATTGTGTTTACAGAGTACGGAGTCGTGTCCTGATAGGACACTTGTATCCTAGGCCTCTCATATATAGCGGGGGTAGACACACGATGTAACCTATGCCAATATAATAGCACATGCACGCGGGGGAGCCGGCGGCGTGTGCCGACGCCCGGGCGGCCGGGGTGCGGTATTGTGACGGTGTCACGGGGAGGAGCGCCCGTAGTCAAGCTCCGGAGATGTAGCCATATCGGTGAACCTCGTTAACAAATCTCGGTGTTGTGCTCGTGTGATTGCTTGGTCCTCAGATGATTAACGGTATGCCTCGGATTTATTCTAATAAGTGGTATCAGAGCTAGGTTGTTTGAAGGCTGTGGATTGTTGATGCAGAGAAAGTATCGAGTTTGAGATGCAGCCGATTGTAATGTGGTTCTCAACAAAATTGAAAAAGACAAATCAGAATACAGGTCTTGCAGCAGACAGGACGTGCGATGATCGATCTGCTGATCGATCGGGCGAGCGTATAGGCAGGCGCATGCGCGCATGGCAGCGTGAGGCGAGACGTGCGGCGGTCGATCAGGTGGATCGATCGGGCGAGCGTCATGCAACGCACTCGAGTTGCGGCAGCAGCGACGCGATCCAGTGGATGGCCGACCTAGTTAGGTTGATCGGAAGTCAGTTGTGTTGATCTAGAGGAAAACACGTGGAGGTCGTCGATGAGACTTTACAAGATGCAATACATTCGATTGGAGACATGGCAGCGGAAGTTGTCGTGTCGGCGGATCGACGAGGTTGCTTGGAGCGGAAAGTTTCTTGAACGACGCATGTATCGTGTTTGATAAAAGCAATGGGAAGAGCTACGTGGTGATCTCGACGAGTTGCGGCAAGGGCGGCGGCGGAACATGCAGGCAGCGGAGTCTTAATTGACTCGGTATACACGGTGCAACCGTGCGCGCAAGAAGCCTAGGCGGACCAGCGTAGTAGAGATGTGGGCTAGACCATGGGTCAGCGCTGGCAGGCCAAGGCGAGTTGGAACCGGAGGGCTACGTACGCGTTTTGTTTGAAGACAAAAAGAGGACCGAGTCCTCAAGTGACACAGACAACAGACAGGCAGATCAAATCTCGCGAAGGAAAAATCCATTGGTACATTCATCGGGGACTAGCAAGGATGGTTGGCAAGGCAAAAGCAATTAGCTTTGCATCAGGAGTTAAAGCCAAGATAGTTTTTTTCCACAGGGTCAGCCGTACGAAGAACCAGGACGTCAACGGATTCCGGGTTTGAGGTGGAGAAGTTCACGGAATTGGAAACCTTGGATTATGGCAGACAAAGGTGAAAGATTTGTTGGCACAACATGGATGCTTGAAGGCGTTGCAGGAAGTCATGTCAGCTAAGATGGAATTATCAGGTGATGGATGGAAATTCGCGGAAGACGATTTGGGAGCCTTAAGTGTGTCATGCAGTCGAACGAGTTCGGCTGGGTCGGACTAGGCAGTCTGACGGGATCGACGTAAGTCGGTTGGTACAGAAGACGGTGGTGAGATCGGCGACAGCGACATAGGAGCGTGATGCTGATGGTGACCGACTTCTGGGGCGTGGAAACACGTGGCGCAAGTCTGAGGGCTTGTGTGGCTTTAGCAAGACTATGGTGTGGGATAGATTCAAGGTGATGTACACACGGAGCTTGAAGTCGACGATGCGCAAGGGTGGACTGATCATCTACCATGGAGTCATGTTGAAGGTGGAGCTGGATTGAGGGGCTACGGTGTAAGGATCCAGGGAATCGAAGCCTATTCAGCGGGAAAAAGCGAGTAACACGTAGTTCGGACTGGAGCTCAGTGGTCCGATGGAAGCGTGAAGCTCGTCATCGGTCGGTGATGATCGGTGGTACTCTGTAGTGGGGGTTGAGTGGTGTGGTTTCACGACCCTTGAGACTCGACCGGGACAGCGGAGGCTCGACGCGGTAATAGCGGCGAGGCGTACGGAGCGCACGGGGCATGGAGACGGGCCAGGGCTCTGGTGGTCATACATATGGTGAGACGCCTGCGAATTTGACTCGGGATGACTACAAGCAATGGTGAAATTCCTTCAAGTTTCTGACAGGCGATCAAGAAAGGAGCGGTGATGGTGAGTTCAGGTAACTCTTATGTGTCACACCCAATATGTGAGTTATTCACTTTCACGCAGGTCAGTGATCGGTGTGTGATGACGTTGGACGGATACTCTGAAAGTTGGGAGCACAAACTAGATGAACAAGGAATTTAATTTTGCTCGAGTGTTGACAGTGGTCAAGAAAAGAAGAGACTACAAGTTGCAGGTGGAGTCATATGGAGTCTTTGGAGTAGCAGCGGTACTCATGGGATAAACTCAAGTTCAATGTACATGGAAGTTTGACGCATTGACGAATTCAAGGTGGTGGAGAATATTCGCCAAGGTGGAGTTTGTTAGAGCTGTGTCGAATATTGTGTACAAGTTAGGTTACAGTTGGACTATGAGTTGTATTGTGTTTACACGGTACGGAGTCGTGTCCTGATAGGACACTTGTATCCTAGGCCTCTCATATATAGTTGGGGGTAGACACACGATGTAACATATGCCAACATAATAGCACAGGCACGCGGGGGAGCCGGCAGCATGTGCCGGCGCCCGGGCGGCCGGGGTGCGGTATTGTGACGGTGTCATGAAAGGAGCGCCCGTAATCAAGTCCCGGAGATGTAACCATATCGATGAATCTCGTTAACAAATCTCGATGTTGTACTCATGTGATTGCTTGATCCTCGGATGATCAACTGTATGTCTCGGATTTATTCTAACATGCTCCCGGCTGCCGCGCCCGTCCGCCGCTGCCCGCCGCGTCCTGCCGCGCTAGCTAGATGTGATCGATGCGAGCTAGCTAGCTAGCCCCGGCCGCGTCTCTTGCTTCGGCTACAGAGGAGCTAGCTAGCTCGCCCCGGATGGATTTTAGCTGAGCTAGCTAGCTCGCTCCTGGATCGATTCGAGCCTCCACGGAGGAGCTTGCTGGCTCGGCGCTTCATGCCCTTCATATTTGGTCGTGTGCGGCTTCAGTTTCGACAGCTTCGTGTGCTATCCACCGATTTTGTGGGAGCAAGCTAACTGGCCATGGACATGGACGAGAGGAAGAAGACGTGGGGAATGAATATAAACGAATATTCCATTTTACAGGTTAAGTTTGAAGGGTCTATTCTGCCGTAGGTAAAACCAACCCGTAAAAGAGTATATTCCATGAATATCTTTTATACGGATCCGTTTTGCAGAGTCTGCCTCTGCAGCCGTCCGCGCCGACCTACAAAATCGTTTTTCCGCGAACTGCAAACGCGTTTTGCGGGTCGACGGGATATAGAGTCTGCTAGAGATGCTCTTAGGTTTTCGTCCTTAAAAAAACCCGCGCTCTAAAACAATGTCTTCAACAAGGAACCCCAGGCACAACCAATTAATTGTGGACCTTGGGTTTTCATCTTGAAAGCTAAGACTTTGTACTCCGCTTGTGTTGCCACCCCCACTTGCCGATGTCGCTTCTACGAGTCACGAATCACCTAGCAAAGTCCCAATCGCCTTGAAGACTTGATCCGTCATTAATAGGCCTTAGCCACCATGACATTCTTTGCCACTGTTTTCACCATGGAAATCGAAATACCGACATGTCCCATAATGTCAACAAACAACCAAGCTTCGCGCCACACCCTCCTAAAGCCACTCGGGCTAAAATAGGGGCGCACACGGCCGAATTTCATCCCACCCAGGAATCTACATGCGTCAAGCATTCAATGAAGATCTCCGGCAGAGCATTTCGAAACTCGTCAATTGCCAGATCAAAGAGGGCCGACATCTAGGAGGACACCATCTCGGATCAAGAAGAAGGCTAGGACCACGTCCCTTGGACAATCAAACTAGCAGGCCCCAATGCCGCCGTGCAGCACGTCGGAGAAGAAGGCAACTGCGGCCATCCGGCCCGCGCCAAGCCATGGCCAGATCGGGGCGAGCCGGGACGACGCACCAGGAGCCACGCCCTAGGGCGAGGCCAACCGCGCCAGCAGCATGCCGGGGAATCCCAGAAAATTTTCCGTACCAAGTGAATAAGATGACATGAGTTTGTATAAGGTGCATGACGTGGATAGTTATGTGGCTAATCATGATGTCGCAACATGCATGACCTAGTGAGATGGGAGAATGCACGTTGTAAGATTTAAAGGTTGTGGTATATGCGTGTAAAATAGTGTTAGTGGATGCTGACATGACACACTTGGTAAGGTGGAAGGCCACATGTTAAGGGCGCGCTTGGAATGTCGTTTTGCTTAGGAATACACCTGTAAACAATACACCTCTCCATCCGTCGTTTCGCTTCCGGCCGGAAATCACTACTGGCCCGGTAAATTACACCTGTAAATTAAATACCGGTGTATTTAAATACACCCAATCCAAGCGCGCCCTAAGAGAATTGCTTATAGTGAGGATAAACATTTTAGGACTATAGGATAAGACTCATCTTCACAGAAATTCCATTTTCCAACGCTGAACGCAAAATAATAGAGCAGCAACAGACACAGCGGGATCAATCATGGGATAAATGAATCCTCCCACTTCTCTGCAATGGAGATTTATTGATAGATGAACTGCGTCGCAGTCTACAAATCAGGAGTTTCTCAATCAGAACAGCAGCAGTTCAGTCGCAGCAAACTAAGTCGGCAACAGTAGTGGTATCCTGAACATGTTCTGCTGCCATTTTCATCCGCTGAAACCCACACAAATGTCCTCGATCACGTCGCCGATCTGATGGCCACGCCGCGGTGCGCGATGGCGCCGCCCGTGTGCTCGTCGCCGGTGGCGTGGTAGGTGTTGGCCCTCCGCAGCTGCGGCTCATCCGCAGGTAGGAACGACCGCATTGGGCTCACTGCAAACCGTTGCGAGGTCGTGCTGGTGGAGGCCTTGACGATGGCGCTCTCGGCCAGGACCTGTTCTTCTAATGGTAGGCCCAATTTTAGAGTCATGCACAGGGGCCCTGATTTTGCAGGCCAGGCCGTGTTCTCCTCCTACATTCATTCGTCGTCGCGCGCAAAGGAGTCAATGAGAGTATGAAGCTGCTAAAAATTCCGGTTCACGTAGGTAGAACTGCACGAAGATGGATTCGCCTGTGGACTTGTGATGTGTACCTCTTTGTTAGGATTTGGAGATTCGCCATTGGAGAGCTTTGGTTCGTCGCCGTGCTGCTCCCGATCAGCTCTCTGCTTGCCGCTGTTCCTTCGCTTCTGTGAACGCTGCCTCGGCTTGGACCTGCACACATGGTGGCAGAGCAGAAAACCATCAAGCCAACAGAGAGGGAATTCTGCTTCTGCAAGATCAAAGAAGCGTTCATGCTATCGGTCAGTCCTCACTTCCTTCCATCGTGGGGGGTGGTCGGATCGGCAGCCTCCTCCTTGTACACGCAGGGGAGGTCGGAGACGTCGCACGCCAACGGCGGCGTGCTGAAGAACTGCAATGGAAAGTCGTGTGAGGTGAAGAGCGTCAGACAAACTTGTGTGGACGGATTGGCTTGTGTGCGCGGGCACGTACGTCGCTCTGCAGAGCCTGGGCGGCGGTGCCACGGGCGGCGGGGTCGAGGGCGAGGAGCGTGGTAAGGAGCGGGAAAGCCGACGCCGGCATGCCGGCGAACTTCTCCGCCATCGTCGACTTGTACGTCTTTGGCGGGCGGATGGTGGCGGGTAGCTTCATCCTCCGCCAGTACTCGTCGGGCGGCGACCCGCAGAGGCTGAAGATCTTGAAGAGCTGCTCCACCTCCGTCCTTCCGGGCATCAGCGGCTTGCCGGAGAACATCTCGGCGAGCAGGCAGCCGGCGCTCCAGAGGTCGATGCCCACGCCGTAGTCGGTGGCGCCCAGGAGGAGCTCCGGGGCGCGGTACCAGAGGGTGACCACGCGGCTGGTGAGCGGGCGGCGCCGGCCGGGCCCGAAGTAGTTGGCCAGGCCCAGGTCGCCGATCTTGAGCACGCCGGCGCGGTCGATCAGCAGGTTCGAGCCCTTGATGTCCCGGTGCAGGATGTTGCGCTCGTGGCAGTGCTGCAGCCCCATCAGCAGCTGCTGCATGTAGCACTTGATCTGCATGCCAAGAAACCAAGAAAATAAGTTCTGCTCTTCGGTTCTACGGGTCGTCGTCTCCGGCTCCGGTGGTATATATGGTACCTGTGGCAGGGTGAGGGGGCGGGCGATGAGGCGGGCGAGGTCGGAGTACATGAAGTCGAAGACGAGGTAGATGCTGCGGTGCATGCGGGAGGTGGCGATGCCGTCGAGGCGGATGATGTTGGGGTGGTCGAGCCGGCGGAGGATGCGCATCTCGCGGGCCATGAACTTGACGCTCTCCGGCTCCATGGTGTCGAGCCGGACCTTCTTGAGCGCGACGAGCCGGCCGTCGGCGCCGCGCTCGCGGGCCTTGTACACGTTGCTGTACGTGCCCTGCCCGACCTTCTCGATCTTGTCGAACGCGTCGGCGCTCCGGGGCACGATCCCCTGCAGCGCCTCGCGCGGCACGTTCTCCAGCAGCCACGTCGGCCACCCGTCCACCAGCTGCTCGCGGTCGTCCTCCCGCCGCGCCGCCGGCGCCTGCGGCGGCATCGACAGCGACGGAGAGGAAACCGTGGCCGCCGTCAGGTTCGACGTCCCCGAGGCATCCGTGGTCTCCGTCCCCGCGGGACCGCCATCCTTGGCGTCCGCCTGGTCCCTCGCGACCGCGACGGCGGCGGTGGTGGGGAGCGGGTCGGTGAGGCGGCGGGCGGCGGCGGGCGTGTAGCCGTTGCAGCGCATGAGGTGGTCGATGCCGCGGTCGTGGCTGCGGGCGGGGGAGCCCTGGGACGGCTTGGCTTGCGCGCAGCCCATGTCAGCGGAGCCGCGCGACGGCGACGGCGGCCTCGGCGGCGGCTGGTGCCGACGAAGAGAGGGAGGTGGAGGAAGGGGCGCGACGGGGATGGAGACATCAACATAGAGGGGAAGAGGGACGAGCCCCGAGTGTGGCGCCAAACATATAAACACTAAAAATCTGTATCTGCAGGCTGGATGGCTGGTAGTGACATTGACAAGAACGATATTGTTGCCGGCCGGCGGCGGCCGGCCGCGCGCGGCTGATCGGGAGATGTAGCTGGTGACAGCCTACGTCCTCACGTACGTGTCTCCGCGCAACAGTGCAGCTCCGGAGCCATGGTGCTCCGCGGTCGGGCACTGCCCGTATACGGCCCGAGATCGACGGAGTTATAGAGGAGGTGCAGCCAGGAGGTAATACAAATCTGGCAGCTGCAGTCGCTGTCGCCGCACCGGTAACTCCCGAGCGTTCAAATTTACTGGAACGCAGGATGAACATGACGAGGATTTGCCAATGTAGATTTATAAAATTTTGAACTTTGTCACCTGGCAGTTTTAAACTTTTTGTAATGCTCACATGTCCAGTTGTTTTGTATACATTTTAAATCTTAGAATTTTTTCTCCTGGCCTCATGGCAAATTCATAACATTTTTGTCTTCCAAACATGGCAACTTAGGTCCTTTTTGTAATGCTCTGATGGCAAGCTTTGGGAAATTTTATCACTTTATTAATGGCAATTTTGGGAATGCTTTTCTACTTTCTTACATGTCAAATTTTATTTACTAAGAGCATGGCAATATTATTATTAAGATCATGGCAATTTTATTTATTTATTATCATGGTAGCTGTGTGTAATTTTTATGTTTTTGAAAACGAAAATATAAAGCATGGAAAATCCCTTATACTTAATTAATATGCAAATTTGACATGTATGATCTTTCTTTTTCTGCATTTTTGGGCCACGGTATTGTTTTTGTTGGTTTCTTCATTTTTAGATTTACTATGGCCCTTTTGTCTTGTAGTACTAATTTTTTCCGTAGGCTACCATGTCAATTTCCTGT